GGCACTTCCTCCTTGGGCGTCGTAGGTTCACATGGGTCACGGACAACAACCCATTGACCTACTACAAGACACAGGATACGGTGAGCAGCACGATCGGACGATGGATGTACTTCATCGACTAATTTGACTTCACACCGAAACATTTCCCCGGCCTCTCCAATTGCACAGCAGATGCACTCTCGCGAAGACCTGATCTTTGCGCTATGACACATCATGCCTTCGCATTCGACGAGGAACTCCAGCAACACTTCATCTGGGGCTATGAGTCTGATCCGGACTTCGCCACGTTGTATGCGCAGCTATCTTCGGATCACCCGTCGGCCAGCCACTATCGCATTGCCGACGGGTACTTGCTCCTCCACTCGAGAGGCAAGGACTTATTGTGTGTCCCACGAGACCGTCGTCTTCGGACTCGCCTTCTCGGGGAGTACCATGACTCGCGACTCGCCGGCCATTTCGGAGTCAACCGCACTATTGCATGGCTTCGACAACGATTCCGATGGCCCGACCTCATTACCGATGTCACTCGGTATTGCGACCTTGCGAAGTTTGCCAACGAAGCAAGCCCCGCAATCGGAATCCCTACGGCGAGTTGCGCCCGATGCCTATCCCACGGAAACCCGGCCTCTCCATTGCCATGGGTGTCACCAGACCATTTCCCCGCGATCGCCTCGGGCACGACGACATCCTCTCGGTTGTGGACCGTTTGAGTAAGTATGCGCGTTTTCTCCCTTGCAAGTACTACTCCACGGCTCCCGAGCTGGCACGCCTCTTGCACACTGGTTGGATTTGCGGCCACGGTGTACCGAAAGACATAGTCAGCGACCGTGACACTCGCTTCATGTCGACATCTTGGACTGCTCTCATGCAGGAGTCCAGCACGAAGATGAAACCAAGTTCGGCTCGGCATCCACAGACGGACGGGCAAACGGAGCGGGCACATCAAACCGCTCAAATGATGCTTCGTACGCTCATCCGTCCGGACCAGAAAGATTGGGTTGATTGCCTCCCCGACATCGAGTTCGCCTACAACACTTCGGTGCACAAGACGATCGGCGTGTCTCCATTTGAGTTGCACCACGGTGGACGGAAAGGCCGTATCTTCGTCGACCTTCTCCTCCCACGACCAGCCGACATCAACGCCGCTTGCTCTCCCGCTTCCGTCCGGAAGTACAGGGAATTGCTGGATCAAGCCCGTGCGAACATGCAAAAGGCTCAAGTCCACATGCAGCAGCAAGCCAACAGGCGTCGCGTGCCATGTCCCATCCGCGCCGGTGATCTGGTTTGGGTCTCCGCGGAAGAGTTTGCACTAGAACATGATGTTTCACGCAAACTGCTTCCCAAGTGGTTTGGACCATGGCCCGTAACATCAGCCGCGGGCGATGAGCCCGATGGCCCTTCATTTGTGATCAACATCCCCCCGCATCTGATGGTCCATCCAGTCTTTCACGCCTCGAAGCTGGCAACATATACACCAGCTAAGAGCGACGACTCTCCGGGCCGACGATCGCAGGACCCTCCATCTATGGATGGACATGAGGAAGTTGACCGCGTCATCACGGATCGCAAGTATGGCAGTAAGCCTTGACAGTACAAAGTTACATTCAAAGCATGCAATCCCGACGACACTCGGTGGATTTCAGGAACAGATTTGAAAGCATCCGCACCGCTGATCTACGCTCACTACGAGCGACAAAGGTTAGCTCAGGGACCTTCACGACCTGCCCCTCCCACCCGGACTGTGGTCCCTCCCTCAGACAGACAGCTTCGCCCTCACAGGTAAGCTCGGTCTTTCAAGGAGGGGGGGGTGTGGCATACTGCGTAGCCACACGGGCCTGCAGGGCCCGTCCTGCGTTCTCAGCCTAAAAGCCTAGAAATAAGGGCTTACAGGCCCCGTGTCGTTTCAGCCTGAAAGACTGAAAACGAGGGCCTGCAGGCCCTATGTCGTTTCAGCCTAAAACAGGGCTTTTCAGCCTGAAACGGAGGGCCACTTTCGGGCCCTCATAAGATCGACCTACCCTAACACTCAGGCACAAAACCAGGGTTTCGGGAACAGGCTATTTCTGGCCTGTTCCCACGACAGCCTCAAGCAGGAGCTGCAGTGGCAGCCCCCGACTCCCTTCAGCATTGGCATGAGCAGCCTCCTGGACAGCCTGGCCCTGCAGTCAGGAGGCAGGCCGAGAAGTACATAGGGAGTTCCCATGCACTTCACGGGTAGGTAGTTGGACAGAAGGCAGGAGTAGTCTTCAGGATTCGGCCGCAGCACTCAGGAGGAGCGCTGCWGGAGTAGCTTAGCGCTAGCAGTAGTCTTCAGTGCTGGGCGCTAGTAGCCATAGCAGTAGTCTTCAGCGCTGGGCGCTAGTAAGTGGTAGTAGTAGTATTGGGGAGAGATGGCTGGTGGAGGCCAGTGAGACTTACCTGTGGTGCCATAGCTCCAGCTCCATCTTCGAGGTACCTGCATCAAGGCGCCAACTTCACAGGTTAGTACCGGACAGAGAGAGAGAGAGAGTTCTTCTTCTTCCTCTTCTAAGTCCATCTCTTCTTCCCCTCTCACCACCTGACTTCTCAGTATCAGCGGACTACGACAGAGAGAGAGAGTTGTGACTTGAGACTTGACGACATTGGATCCAGASTCGACATTGGGATTCAGACATTTTGACGAGGGACTATTTGGGCCTGTGCCGAAGACTTGGTGTTGACGACATTCCCATCTTCCCCTCTTCTTCGTCTAACCCCCCTCTTCTTCGTCTGTGTATGGTTGGGGCCGGCCCATTCTTCCTGTGTGAGCGCCAGACTCCTTCACACCATGGAGTGATGATGATGATGTATATTCGGGGCTGCATTGCAATATTGATTGTTCGGATCATTGGTATTTAAGTTTTCCGCTGCGCTATCTTGTACTTTGTTAGAGAGGTCGGTTCTTGTTCTGGTCTGCACCGTTACAGTATGCAAGAATCGCACTGCTGCTATTTTGCAGCTCTGCATGAGAGCTTCCACAGGACTGTGTTTTTGGGTTTGGGTGCTGCCATTTTCCACTTGGAAGCCATATCTGATGTTCCTCCTCACGTGGAACTTCATCTTCTTCGAAGTGCTGGATCGGTTGTCTCCTTCTTCATCAGGATGTCCAGCGCTGCACTTCCGTGCGGGCGCTGAGCTGGCGCTGCTATCATTGGGGTTGCTTGTTCCGATTGGCACGTTGTGACAGCTGTGGGGTTACTGCTGCCACGGCAGCCATAGCCAGGGGTATGAGGTGGCGAAGAGGAAGAAGAAGACTCCTGCATACTTCGTTGAACACTTGTTTTTGGTTGTTCGGGGTTGTTGTAAACGCGGTTGTGGTTCTTGAAACAAGTACTCTGGATTGATTGGAGGAGGACGAGGGATTGCAGAGTTGAAATTCTTTTTTCAATTCTGTGTGTATTTTGAGCTTCCGCTGTGCATATATCTTCTCTCCGGTTTTGTGTGGATTTGCTTCCCCCGAGTCTACTCTGCAATTGCATGCGTGTATGGGAACATTTGAATTCGTTGTGGATTGAAGTTCAATTGGATACATAACATGCTTCTGCTTCTTCTTCTGCTTCTTTCCTCCATTCATCTTCTCTCCTTGACTCTTATTTGAGTTGTGATGAATGGCATTGTCTAATATTTGAGTTTGGAACATGAAATGGACACAGGATCATAGCACCTGTCACCGGCCCATGAGCCACGGCTGCCTCTATGGTAACTTGACGCGAGGAGTTCATCGAAGCCAGAGTCTACAGTAGATTTTTAACCAGTCCTGTAATTCTGGTGCTGACGGGCACATGATTGTGGGTATGTGCTGGTGTTCTGTAACTGAATTTCAGGGAAGGGCTTTTGCGACGAAATAACATTGTTTACAGTGCCTGCATTGCAGCCGGCATTCCGTTGGTGATTACCATGGGCGGTGGCTATTCCAATCCTATTGATTGTGAGTTCCATGCTTTGTGGCTCCTCTGTCCTTTGCTCTGAGCTGATCACTCCATGCCTCGTCTGGATTCATTGTTTACCATGACCACGCAGCTGTGTACTCAACTTTCAAGTCATAAAATGATAGTAAAATGATAATAAGATCGGAGCTCGTGCAATGAATTTTGCTCAACTTAACACCGAAACTCAGCAATCCACAAACGGAACATTCACATGAGAGTTGACACCACACTGCAAAGATGAGGCGCAAACCAAAGCACCGAGAAAACACCGCTCATCTGATATAGTATACGATGAAAGAGTTCGGTTTTCCCACATGGCTCTGCCGCTCACAAGAACTGCGATCCAATTCAGGTATGAACCCGACTTCCTTCCTCGCCAGTGTGTCTCTCCCTCCTCCTGTCTCCCTCAGGACTGCTATCGCTCACCTCACTGTTCTCTCTCTCACTCTTATTTCTTTTTTTTCTTTTTCTTTTTTTTCTTTTTTTTATCAAGAAACAGGGCCTTATGGTCCCGACTCCTTCCATTCTGGGGAGCGACAGTCCAGTTCCTATTCCACCGGCAAGTCAAGGCATGATACATCACAGCAACCAACTCACGCTTCCTCCCGTCTGGCCGGAGAACCCCTGAACAGCATTGATTGCTCCATGTTGGGTGGAGGATTGACTGTCAGCTTGCCCAGAGACGCTCTTCCTTCTCAGATCTACTGTTGCAGTTCTGTCAGATTTATCTGTTATACCTAGAAAGAGCTCCTCCCGTGCTGTTGCCCACTCATGTTGTCCCTCATCCCCACCCCGCCCTTACTTGCTGTGATTTCCTTAGATCCATCTACTCCCCCATCCTCTGAGTTCTGTTGAACCCTAAACCCTAAACCCTAAACCCTAAACCCTACCCTTGTTTGGATGCTTTAAATAATAACTTTTCCCCCTTGCTTCCGCCTTCCAGTGATGTGTCGACCTGATACTGCCGTCAGTTATCTATGAGACCCTCCCCACTCTGCACCTTCTTTGATCCCGGCCCTCCTTCCCCTTTTTCCTTTTTCGATCTTCAATCGGCAACACCTCCCGTTGGCTCGGACGGTTCTTACTGACGAACCCAGTTTCCTTTCCACAAGCGGCCCGTGTTGGATTGTGGCGAATGGCTGAGGTGACAAGGCAGGTAGACCCTGTGGACGCGGCCTCCTGCAATCTGCTCCGGTGAAACCCCTTCGACCCCAACCCTTCAAGTCATAGTTGCCTCCTCCGTTTGTGACTGTTGCCTTACAATCCTATCCGGAATTGAGTTGTGCCAGTCCTTCCAGCTCACCCAGTCTTCTCGGATCTCGGCCACCTTACCGCTAATCAGCCAGTTCCTGCTGAATTTCGCTCTCACTTTCTTTAGCTGCTCTTCATCTTCGGGCCATTTCAGTTTGATTTTCCTCCATCTGCACAATATCTCTGCTTGGATAATCGACTTGGACTCTTTCCATACCTTGTCCCGTGGATTTGATAGTCCTTCAATTGATCTACTGCATCTCTCCTTCCAGATCACCCATAGGCTCACCTTCCTGATGAGTTCAAACCAATTCGGTTCCGCCCTCCGAGTCATCGTGGGGATGTTAGTGAGGAGGAGTAGTTGGATGGGTTGTTTAGGGAAAGGGGAAGAGAAGAGGGAGTCCCACAGGGAAGAGGCTCTCGCCCATTAATCTGTCGTCTCCACACAGTGCACCAAACAGTGGACTATGTCCTCTACCGCTCCTGCCGAGCAGACTGTACATATCTCCGAGCTATCCGGATTAGTAGCTTTACGCCTAGTGTGCAGCCACTGGTTCACTGGTAAGGCAGCATACGCTATCAACCACTGCAGACTTCTGATCTTAACTGGTCTGATCTGTGCATATTTTTTCCATGGGATCTGTTGGATTTTGTCGGCTTCCTGTCCCTCCAGCTTTCGCCATCTGTTTAAGATAATGGGATCTGGGTCTTTGGTCTTCAGTAGTAGTCCGTACCCAAATTTAACGGTATAGTCTTGAACCGGAGTTTTCGTCTTGACACTCCGATTGCTGCCTGAGGTCCATGCCCACTCTTCTGGGTCAAATTCTAAGGCTCGGATAGCGGTATCTGGTCTAAAAATGGACTTCGGCCATGTGCCTATGACCCTGACCTTCCTGAGGAGAAAAAAATCTAGTGTGGAGCATTCGACTTCCCGATTATGGATGGCTGGCATATCTGAGCCCGTGGTGGATATCGGGAAGGAATGGAAGACGGCGTTGGTAGGTGAATCACGCTGCATGTGGGAAAATTGGTAGGCTCTAGTAGGAGGGGTGTCTTGGATCAAGAGGCCCCAGTCCCCGGCTCTCCACGGCTTATCCTTGGCAAGGATGTCCTTCCATTCTTGCGGGATACGGCTAATTAGGTACTGCAAGTTGGTTTCTCTCCTGTGGCATCCTTTCAGTTGTGCATTAACCTCTTGCTCCGTAGCCCAGTCTTTTCTATCCTCTTCCCACAAGTGGTCTATCTTCCAGATCCCATTCTTGACCCATGACAACCATTTTTGTTCCATATATATCGGATTGTTGGCCTCGTTTGTTATCCATTCATTACCAAAAAGCGGTTGTCTGAGAATTTCGTCTTTCGACTTTGGTCTGTTGATCCTGGTGGGACAAATTCTCCTCCAGAGTCGAAGCAGCACCAGCCAGTACGGGGAGTGAGGTCGGACATCTTCTGGTCTGTTATTCCTAGTCCGATTCCTGTGTCCCGTTGTTATCCTCCATTCCTTATTCATGACCCAGAACAGTCCTGACATATCGGGTGGGGAGCGGGTAGGGGCCACCGCCCTGATGCTGTCTAATGCCAACTTGTTCCAAGCGGTGTCTGGATTTGTCAGCAGTTTAATGATCCATTTTATTTGCAAGGCTTTGGTCTCTGTCCTCGGGTCAATGAGGCCCAGGCCTCCGTTCCTAGGACTCCTTGTGACATAGTGCCAGGCTATTCTCACTCTTATTTCTACTAGGATTGAAGCCTGAATACGCCGGCATCGCACCACGTCAGATCTCCACAGCTATGTCCGCCTTCTTTCCCACCGGGCGGGCGCTTGCTCCTCCAGCGCCAATCCTCCACCCACGTCGCAAGCAATCAGCAACGCTTCCGCAACTTGCGCAAATGAACAGATGTCCCCACCTGTTGGTGCTGTTGGACTCTTATACTTGCTGATGCGCCTTTCTGCCATCTTCTGTTGGTTATGGCTTGGTCCCCTTGCCTTTGTTTGCTGCTTCTGGAAGCTATGGGCTCTCCTTGGATCCGGCTGCTTTGGGTGGACTGGCTGACGCCTGGCCTAACGACTCTGGTGATTGGGGATGAAATCGGTGGTGCCTTCCAAAGACAGATTCCTCAACCCATAACTGTTCTCTTCTAGGGACTTCCTACGACGATCTACTTAACTAGCCTGCCGTGGCCTCTGCAGCCGTAGTACAAACGAAAATGACTCTTTTAGAGTATTCTAAAAGAGTACTGTACAAGTGGCTGGGACCCCTAATGGAACACGGAATGGGACTTGGGGATGGAGACCTGGGACTGGGACTGGGACATGGGACTCAGGACTGGGACCTGGGACTTGGGCTTGTCTGCAGCGTGAAATCCTTTCACTCGAGCGCCCACTTCGTGTCCTGGCCTTGATTGAGTGCTCGGCAGACTAACCCAGGTCCGTCAATTTAGGGCGTCGCCACACCACTCCCGAAATGTGCAAATCGAGAATGAACTTCCGGCTAGAACATGGCCAGATGCGCCCGCCAAATTTTCTGTCTTTTTCACATTTCGAGAGTGGTGTGGCGAGGCCCTTAGGCTCCTTCCCATCTGCTGATTTACCTAGTTATACGCCTGTCCCATTTGACCTGAATGGTTTGTCAGTTCCGCCAATGGTAAAATAAAATAATAAAAATGAGTGAAACTTTTAGACCACATCGGGGATCTGCAAATGGCTGACCAGCATCGTTTGGATGAACCGCAAATTTTTGCCCTACCACGTGCAGACCACATGGGTGATCTGCAAATGACCGACCAGCAAACAGCCTATAAGACATTTTGGGCTTGCAACACCAGCTGGATGATCTGCAAATTGTTGGCCAGCATTCGGCACACCAGCCTGAGGTCCCTGCCAATCTCTGTGGTCTATACTGATTCTTGTCATTCTTGAGCCTTTTCTTCTCCTTTTCCTTTGCTTTCATCCTTATTCCGCACTCCTTACTTTCCCTTTGTCTTTCTGCGCTTTGTCTTCTTTCCATCTCTTCTCTGTGTTTATCCCCTCCCCTTTACTCTGTCTCTTTCTCACAGCATACAATTGAGCCGTTACGGCACACGGGGATGGGGGCAGCTCATGCTCAACTTCATGGCGAGCCTTGTACGTAAGGGGGAATTAAAAGAAGAATGATAAAAAAGAACGGTTCCAGTGTGCTCTTCCTGTTTGTCGAATTGTTGTACTGAGAATGCTCCGCTAGGTCTTCCATATGATCATCCACCTCATCGTTACAATGTGTGTCCTCTCTTTCGTCAAGGGCAGACTGATTCTTGAGCCTTTTCTCATCCTTTCCTTTGCTTTCATCTTGATTCCACACTCCTTACTTTTCCTTACTTCCCGTTCCTTTGCTTTCATCTTCGTTCCACACTCCTTACTTTCCCTTATGTTGCCTTTGTGTCCTTTGCTCTGTCTTCTCTCCATCTCTCTTCTCTGTGTTTATCCCCTCCCCTCTTTACTCTGCCTCTTTCTCACAGCATAGATGTGGGCCGTTACGACACACGGGGATGGGGGCAGCTACCATCTTCACCCAAATAGTACGCTCGGTCATTAGCGCTGTTTCTGGACTGAAAGTTGCCCCATATACAGTGAAGGGGGAGTAAAAGAAGAATGAGAAAAATGAATGGTTTCAGTGCGCTGGTCATGTTTGTCCTGTGTATTTTTATCGTTTGTTTTGCCAAGTGTGCTCTTTTAGTTCATAGATTTGTTCGGGACATCCGTTAAAATTGGAAC